ACCGTAAATTGGGCGTTTCATCGTCCAACTATAAAAAGAATATGCTTTTTGCAATCATTAAATCTGTGCATGATTTGGAACTCCAGGAAGACCCTAATTTAGCAATTGTGGTTGTAATTTCACCGATCTTTTGAAATTGCCAGTGAAATTACTCCAGTGATTTAAATAGTGTTCCATAATTTGGTTTGTCCGACGTTTTCAACTATTCGGCGTTAGCACTTCCCATTAGCCACATTAGCGTATACCATGGATCTTCTAGTATATAGCTCCATGCTATATATACATACAAAACGTCTTGCAGTCGCCCGTATTGCAATACCGTATGACTTTTTTAGTGCAGGGAACAAACGTACATGTCCTGGCTGATTCGCTGTCAAACGAAATTATAGCTTCAAGTATCACAGATATTCTTTCGTGATGAGGTTTACATTACGCAGGGCAATGCGGTTGCCATCATATTAAACTGAAAGCTTGACCTGTGCCTTGTGACTCAACTGGTTGCTAAGGTTCATGAATTGTAGTCGCGCGCGATCTCGCGCCCGGGTACACGCTAAAGGCCTTATTAATTTTGGATTGAAATTAAAATTCGAGCATACTATCTTGCTAAATTGTATAACCATATCATTTCATTTAGATTTGGTACAAAACAAATCAGATTTAAATTGAACGCGTGGAAGAGGTGCGCTTGAATAAATTAGACTGCAAACCACAGATGTAAATATAATTTTGTTGTTTTAGTATTCAAAAGTTCAATACCGTAGATCACATTGTTTTCTTGCTTCTTGTTTGAAAGGCTAATCTTATATTTTGAATCAATTTTAATATATCTTCAAAACTCACAACACATGAGTTTATTCTAGCTTTCCTAGATTATTATTGTATGTAAACTTACATTAACAATTTTCTATGTAGGTCCCAGAAGGCCAAGAACGATGAAGATCAAAAATCTGAAATATAGTGAACTGGATGAATTCTGTAGTGACATGAGTGTTGAGAGGGAAAATAGTGAGTACATTGTGTACATATCCCCAAAATAAACCAGACCAGATTTCAGTGTGCTGTGTAAAGGAATTGCAACACTGTGATGCATGTATGCTATTTACTTGAATAAACAGAAGATAGATATAAGTCTACCCACAATGTATTAGTCTCCATGCGTCTTTGCATCCATGCCCTTATACATGCATCTTAAAAAAAACCATGACGGATTGTCGTCAAATTTTACACATAGCTAATACCTTATCTGGCACTTATGCACAGGTATAACGATGGACAACTGCCAGCCTTTTTTAAATTTGAGAACGCACTGAAATGTTTTTTACGGATGCAAATTCGTTTCAAACATGTTGGGTGTCTATGTCTAGTTTTTGTTCCTAAATAAGATAGCTAATGCAGACAAGAATGTCTCTGCTTCCTATGCCAGAGACGTTCCTAAGGCTACCAACCTGATTAATAAACGAAGGGGGTTTCTAAAGCCAAAATAGATTGAACCAAAATGTGGGTAAGTCTAAACCAGCTGTGGACGAAAGACGAGAGTACTTTCAAGCCAACTTAACATGTTAAAAATAGTCCCAAAATAAATTATGTGTTGCTATGCTAACTCAATTCATTCTGTTGTATGGAATCTATATAGGTGTTCATATCTGGTTCAAGTCTGCACATAATCTGTTTCATCGTTCATATCCGGCTTGGATTCCGTTCAGTTTGACAAGGATACCGTACAGGTGTACAGGTTCTGAGCCAGGATTTCCAAAACCCTTTCTGTCACTTGTATGGCTTCCTGTCCAGAATTTATTGGCTCGTTGCAGTTATATGTCACAGCTCTTTTCGCATTATTTTGGTGGAGGAGTTCCACCAATCATACACATCACACTGACATCATCCTGTGGGTGAATCTGCCGCCATTATCTAGCTCGGTCTGAAACCTACCAATATTGACACAGATACTGTGAAGAAGTCATGCTAATGCGAGTACCCACGCTTGACACAACTTCAACATGAACACATTCTTCTGTCCCTCTAAGCTTCAACTGGTAGATTTTTTCAAGCACATTGCCGATATAGATAAGTGGGGAATATTAAGTCATGCCATCAACTCTGTTTCGTCTATCATTTTGTGTGTGAACTTTTTAATATGTGAATTACAGTGCAAGGGCTGACTCATAGTGCATTATGCTACATAAACCATATTCTATAATTATGTGACAGGGCTGTGTGACCATCTTCATATCTTCATGGCAAATTAATGCAGTATCCTTGTGTCAACTAGGCCTGGTAAAAGATTCCACCATAGTCACACCCATTATAAAATGAATCCCCTTCATTGGCTTTGGTCTTCCAATTGAACTCGAATTGATCACAAATATGATGCAACAACGACTATCCTACGAGTGATCGGTGCCTAGCACCTTGTTCCTTGTTGTTACGGCTAGCATTTCTTCAGCAATCACCTCACATTTATTATTCAAATTATACATGTATTATTCAATTATGAACAACTTTTTTTTTCACTTACACTAACCCGCCCAACTTCACAAGCTTACTAGTATTACATTAGTTCTTCTAATGATGCCCAATGTTGCAATAATTCTGGCCATACTTATCTAAGTTAGACAATATTTAACTATTATCTAAAGAAAGTAATTGACAGTGACTGATAAAGTTGCTCTAATCCATCACTGCTCATAATAAAACATTAAATATTGTAACTTTGTCAAACATTATGAGTTAGCTATTACGTATACCGGTACATATCGATTTTTGTTGATTTGATATTGTTATCATGGGGTGATTTGTATTGGCATATATATATTATACAGGTTCTTTGAAATTTTACTCACATATACATAGTTTAGTGCTATTACAATCCCAACAAAACAATCATATTTAGCATATAAGCACCTCTAGTATTTATGTGATTATTATTTATTTTCATGGGGATGGGTCTAGAAAAACCGTTTATTTCAAAATGCAATAAATCGTATGACACTAATGGATATAACTATCGTTATATACTCGTTATAGTTTGTTGTGTGAATAATACAAGAGCTGCCTCCGGGAGTGAAGAGCATCCATATGCATTGCCTTACAAATACAGTGACTTAGTACTTACACTAGTTTCTTAACCAAAACCATACACATTTTGGCATATATCAATTATATAACTTTGATTTTAAATTGTACACACACTGATTTCACCCAAAAAACCTATTAGCTCATTCAAATAGTGATTAACCACATACGAGTATGAAACGTCAAATCAGACATAGGAACTGTGGTATTTACTGTACAATTAACAGTGGAATGCATTTATGTATATCCTTGCAGCTAGTCTGAGTGTGAGGCAATAGACCATTGTTTGACAGTCCCTCACTGTAACCTTTATTCACTATGTGCTTTTTCAGATATGGATTGGCGAGGACTTGCTGAAAAGCTCGGATATAACAAAACCAAAATTACGCTCTGGGAGCAACGGCGTACCGACAAACCAAAAATGAAACTAGTCTTGTCACAATGGGAAGTACGTAACGAAGCTACCATTGGAAAGTTATATGATGTCCTTGTTGAAATGGGGTTGTCACATATTGCAGACGAACACTTATAACGTTATTATCCAAGTTCAGTGTTTCAAGTACTATCACACTTATGTGACGATCTCAGTCATATATATGGAGACCACTGCAATAACTCTTGTTTACATGGTCTTGACAATACTGACTTGTATTATTGTGTCCAAGATGAATTTTTTCAAAAATATATTATAACAAAGCTTCCTCAATTATATGCATTTCTGAGATCTTAATATGTATGAGTTTTTACTCTCGTTATCATTATAGATTAAGAAACAAAAATATAAAGTCTATTTGATTTGTATTCCATCGTCAACAATTTGTTGTGGTTGTAACAACAAATTTCACTCAATCATCCTTAATCTACGGTATATTATTAATCTATTTGGAACATCAAACAATTTCAACTATTTAATTTTTTAGAACCTCCCAAACTACCGGGCAAATTTTGATATACTGATTTTGATGTATTGATTCATTGTACACTGATTGTATGCCGATTTTGGTGTGTTTTTATTCACTGAACACATATATGAATGTATATTCAAAACATGTCGTGTAGTGCTTTCACCAATGACACAGATCCATACTGCTTATTGATGGTCAGGGCGTCATTTTTATTCACATACATACATATTTCATTCTGATGTGCATTTTAAACATTATTGATATTTACTGATCACATCGGTAGCAATAATAAACTGGATTAGACGCGAGAAACACGCATATCCAGAATAAAACGCGTCACTTAGTAATTAAATTATTTTGTATTGATTTGATATAATTTTGTATGTTTAATATCATTACCTACACCAATCTCCTAACAATGTACATTGTAAATCAATTATATTATGGGAGATATGTACAGTAGTATTCTTATAACTATAATGCTTATGTGTGTGTTTACTTTATTTATGCAATCGGGGATAGTTATTGTTGTTACAGCAAATTAATACAGTGTGAATTCTCAACAAATAAAAGCATTTGAACTATTAACTGTACGTACAGGAAATTCAAAGCGCAAAAACATTGATTAATCAAAAGTATAAAAAAACTGTTATCATAATACAAATCGTATTGTACCAAAAGCAAACAAAACAGGCTAAAAAACATTCCCTGATGCCCCCTTAACTATTTTTTATGGATTGATTACAAAATATGCAAAGGTTTAGAAAA